TTCTCGTAAAAGGGGAAGGAATGTAACGAGCAAGAGCTTGAGTTGCTTTGTCCAATGGCTAGATCCTCAGGTGGCCTCAATGCAAAGGCCTATGTGACGCCAAGCAGGCCCCATTGACGTGAACTGAACTTGGCAAGATCTGCAATGAACACACCAAGATGCCCACGCGCATCGTCAAGAGGCTAAAACAGACTCCTCGCATTTGTGGAAATGTGGCATGCGTGAAATGCGTTAGCCTGCGAATTCCAGCGGCCCCTCCCTCCATGGAACTTCCATGGACTCCGCGCCTTTGCCAAGCTGCTCCGGCTCCTTCACTGCCTGGCAATGGGGCACGGAGGGACTGATTCGTGCATCTGTCTGCACTCAGTGCTGCTCTTGCGCAACACATTGACCTTGATCTCAGCAATGCTACTGGCATTACTGGTCTCCATGCCTTGGCATTCCCCCCTCAAGAAGTAGAACCACACATGACGCAAACATGCGCACAAGAACAAGAAGGGAAAGCATGCTCTTCAGCCTTTTTACAAACGCGGAGCATGTGCAGCATGACAGTCAGCCAGAATGCTTGATAGCCCGATTGAAGGGGCAAGAATCAGCGCACGCCCAGGAAACTGGCATCAAAGCATGCACTACTGGCGCTGCAGTACACCTCCTTGAAAGATGCCCTCGATAACCTTGCCGCTCGGAAGGAGCTGCTTTCCACTGCCGTGCCGCTTGCCGTCCAGGAACTGACCTTCGTACAAGGCAAAGCCCTTGCTGGTGCTCGAAGAAAGCCGTCCTTGGCCATGCGGCACGCAGTGGCGCACTTCCCCATCATAGGCCGAGCCGTTGGGCAGAGTCAGCGCGAGAAATCCTCGGGCTGCCTGGGGTGTCGGCCAAGATGTCCTTCAGCAGATGAGCGACGACGAGCGCCTCTGGGCGCAGGGACCTATCGAAGCACTGAAGTGCCAGTGACGTGACACGTTGCGCCACAGCCGGTGGCCACAGTGCGCGCGCATCGATCATGCCCAACACCCGCGGAGTGTCCACGTTCTCATAATGCATTACCAACCTGCCCTGCTGAACCACGGCAGGTGGCTTCCTCGTCAAAACCTCAAGCAACACCATGCCCACAGAAAACATGTCGGCCGAAGCCGAAAAATAGCCAGTCTCCAAATACTCAGGATCGGCATAACCGGGCGTCCCGGACCGGTGCTCCACCAGGACAGGGTCGAGGTCCGTGACGATGGCGCAGTCGAAGTCTGCCACCTTCCCATCCCCGGTTTCTGAGAGCAAGATGTTTTGGCTCTTAATGTCCCGATGAAACACTTTGGGCCGCAAACCATGTAAGTAGGATATGCCACGCACGCAGCCTGCCACTGCTTGCAGGCGGCTCTGCCATGCAAAGGCTTTGTCACGGTTCAGGCGTGCAAACAAGTCTCCGCCAGCCAGGAACTCCATGATGATGTACGCCTTCGACGGGCCCTGCGCGCAACCGAGTACTCGCACTATATTCCCATGGCGTAGGGTCCTCAAAAATGCCACGTCGCGAGCAAAGGTCGTTCCCTTGCTTCCTTGATGGCGACGCTGCCGTCGAGGGTGCCAAGGAAGACGGCGCCCATACCACCACGTCCCAGTAGACGAGTGGAGGAGAACCCGTAAGTCGCCATACTTACCTCCCTCAGCGAGCGCTCCTTGAAGTCAGCTTTCGCGAGCTGTCGTCGGGCAAACTTCTGGATGACCCGCGCTGCAGCTTCTTTCTGCTGCTCAGTCAAGTACCTCACGGCGCAGAAGACGCCGAAGCCCAGCACGGGCGCCAGCGCGCCGAGCGGCGCCAGAAATGCCACTCCCAGCGACGCGCCAGCGCCGGTCACAGCAGTACTGACGCTGGCGCCGGGGGCGCAGGCGAGGGAGATGGAGCCCAAGGAGCTCAATCCGCTGGCTCCGAATCCGAAAGTAAGCCCCAGCTCCATGGCAATTGCTGCGCGTTGGCAAAACCTGCGACGCCGTCTCCACAACTCGTGTTCCTCGAAAATTGCTCACACGGTGGGCCACGGAAGCCCTGCAAAGCTGATATTGAACCAAATGGCTCTTCTGTCCGCTTGCGCTAGAATCCAGTGCAACAAATTCCCCTTTCGAGATGCGCGCTGAAAGCGCCTCTGGAACTACCAAATAAAATATTCGCATTTGCTACTGCGTGCAACTCAGGGTGCCTAGCAAATAGGAACTACTGTCCAAAGCCTGAGGGCAATTTGTTTGATTTGCTCGTGAAACCGAGGGTCAGGCAAAGCATTCTCCGCACGCCACAAGCACATTAGAAGCTAATGAAAGTGAAAGAACATGTCCAGTGGTAAAACCTTCCAAGGAGACACACACACACGTCGTGCATTGTAGCAAACACAAGTGATTTTGATGTTACGTGCAGGGAAGGGCTGTAGGTACCGGGGTCATCCGCCGCCTGATATTCGAAACAGTTTGCACACCCACCACCGAAATGAGCGCCCCCAACTTTCCTTGGAAAGCTAGCTCCACGGCACAAATAATTGTGCGTTCAACCAAACACGTGTCATCACATGTTGCATCATCTGTGACCCAAGAACAAATTCATGCGCCGATTCCTCGAAGCACCGAAGGGGTTATCTACAACCAAAGTTGCATTGTCTGAGCGCCTAAAACTCAGCAAGTTTGACCATTTGTGAGTCCTTTTGGAGAACGCAGGAAGGAAACATGTGTCGCTGCGCCTAGAGGGTCCAGTAGCATGACAAACTCAAGTCGAATCCGTGCCGGTTGCCAGAAAACGCCCCTGGCCTGAGGCCTGGCAGCCGAGGCTTTCCTTCACCTGCCGCTGAATTTGTTGCTCCGAAGCGGTGGAAATGAGGTCAAAGCTTGTGACACAGAGACTTGGAGGGCTTCATGATATATGAGTCAAGGGCTGCAAGCCCTGAGCTTGCAATCGAGCCACATGTGCCATTGCATTCACATGTTGTACGAGTCTAGAAACATATACATGCATGTGTGTGTGTGTGGCCGTCTGCGTTGGAGAACATTTTGTTGCCAACACCACTGCCGCTCAAAGAGAACCCCACGGCTTCTTAGTTCATTGGCTACTCAGCTGCTCATAGACAATAGAAGTGGGCCCGGCACCTCACACACCAACATAGTGCAGGGGAAGGAAAGCAAGACATCAACGCCAGCCAACAGTCAAACAGCATGTCAGTTTCCTGCATTAAGGAAGTTCCTGGTGAATTGACTGTTCCAAATCGTCGAAATGGTGGATTTAACAAACCCGCAGCATGCCAAAGCCTAGAGTTGGAACATGTTGGAAGTAAGTAACGCCGCAACGACACCTCGATGAACTTGTGATCAGAACAGCCACGCTTTTGTTGGGCACAGTGTCTTGTGCAGCTGGTCGCGCCAGCCTAGCGCTCGCTTCCCAACCCAAACTGGGAGAACCCGGATGGCCTCAAACGACTTTCGGAACAGATGTCATTCATGCTGACATGCTGATGGGATGGGATGCCAATCGCGATTACTTCCCAACGTTTCGAAGAGGACACCATACATGGGAGAAACTTGGCAGTGCGCCGCTGGGCAACTCAAAGGCCCAACTTGGTCCGAAGCCAAAGCCCAGACCCCACAGGCATGTCACGTATTACCTTCATAGGTGACCAGAAGCATGTCTTCATCTCTCCGCTCTACGCTCCGCTATCTCACTAGACCTTGAGCTGCAAACAGAACTAATCAAATTGAGTACTGGAGGAAATGATGCTGCATGATGCCACTCGTTCTTCAGGGAGGCCACCAGATCTCGATCCGAACAAATGCAGGGCCAACGTGGGCGATGGGAGGCCCCTTCCCAAGGGTCATCAAGGGTAAGGAGGCCTTGGTGCCTCCTATTTTTGCAGTAGAAAGTTCAGAAAGCGTTCTCTGCAAGCACATAATTCAGGGAAAACACAGTGTGAGACCTACATTGACTCCTAGCTGCGTGTTCAATGGCTCATGAATGTTGGTCTTGGGCAGACGTGCTGGTTCCTCAGACAACGCTGCTTTACAGGAAATGCAAGGCTTCAGCCGCAACACCCTTTCATGGCGTGCTTGACACCCAGCAAGCCCCGCACATTCCAGAGATTGCACAACAAACTCACTTGGCAGAACTATCACCCATACCGCTGCCAATGCTGGTTCGTTTGGCTGCCCAAGTGTCATCCCATAACCTTAGAATACCTAGCCAATCACAAGGTCCCCAAAGCTGGAGGAGAGCAACCCTGCCATGGATGCTCTGGACAGATTGCCAACGTGCGTCAAACAGTCTGTCACCTTGAACTCTATGCAGCTATGCACACAAACTGCCAATACTGCCAAGTTCTCGTAAAAGGGGAAGGAATGTAACGAGCAAGAGCTTGAGTTGCTTTGTCCAATGGCTAGATCCTCAGGTGGCCTCAATGCAAAGGCCTATGTGCAAGCGCCAACTCTCGACATTTGCGCAGCAGGCCCCCGACGTGAACTTGGCAAGATCTGCAATGAACACACCAAGATGCCCACGCGCATCGTCAAGAGGCTAAAACAGACTCCTCGCATTTGTGGAAATGTGGCATGCGTGAAATGCGTTAGCCTGCGAATTCCAGCGGCCCCTCCCTCCATGGAACTTGCATGGCCTTTGCCAAGCTGCTCCGGCTCCTTCACTGCCTGGCAATGGGGCACGGAGGGACTGATTCGTGCATCTGTCTGCACTCAGTGCTGCTCTTGCGCAACACATTGACCTTGATCTCAGCAATGCTACTGGCAGTGCTGGTCTCCATGCCTTGGCATTCCCCCCTCAAGAAGTAGAACCACACATGACGCAAACATGCGCAGCTTGGACACGGTATTCCATAAGTCAAGAACAAGAAGGGAAAGCATGCTCTTCAGCCTTTTTACAAGTGCGGAGCATGTGCAGCATGACAGTCAGCCAGAATGCTTGATAGCCCGATTGAAGGGGCAAGAATCAGCGCACGCCCAGGAAACTGGCATCAAAGCATTCACTACTGGCGCTGCAGTACACCTCCTTGAAAGATGCCCTCGATAACCTTGCCGCTCGGAAGGAGCTGCTTTCCACTGCCGTGCCGCTTGCCGTCCAGGAACTGACCTTCGTACAAGGCAAAGCCCTTGCTGGTGCTCGAAGAAAGCCGTCCTTGGCCATGCGGCACGCAGTGGCGCACTTCCCCATCATAGGCCGAGCCGTTGGGCAGAGTCAGCGCGAGAAATCCTCGGGCTGCCTGGGAACTGGTGTCGGCCAAGATGTCCTTCAGCAGATGAGCGACGACGAGCGCCTCTGGGCGCAGGGACCTATCGAAGCACTGAAGTGCCAGTGACGTGACACGTTGCGCCACAGCCGGTGGCCACAGTGCGCGCGCATCGATCATGCCTAACACCCGCGGAGTGTCCACGATCTCATAATGCACTACCAACCTGCCCTGCTGAACCACGGCAGGTGGCTTCCTCGTCAAAACCTCAAGCAACACCATGCCCACAGAAAACATGTCGGCCGAAGCCGAAAAATAGCCAGTCTCCAAATACACAGGATCGGCATAACCAGGCGTCCCGGACCGGTGCTCCACCAGGACAGGGTCGAGGTTCGTGACGATGGCGCAGTCGAAGTCTGCCACCTTCCCATCCCCGGTTTCTGAGAGCAAGATGTTTTGGCTCTTAATGTCCCGATGAAACACTTTGGGCCGCAAACCATGTAAGTAGGATATGCCACGCACGCAGCCTGCCACTGCTTGCAGGCGGCTCTGCCATGCAAAGGCTTTGTCACAGTTCAGGCGTGCAAACAAGTCTCCGCCAGCCAGGAACTCCATGATGATGTACGCCTTCGACGGGCCCTGGGCGCAACCGAGTACTCGCACTATATTCCCATGGCGTAGGGTCCTCAAAAATGCCACGTCGCGAGCAAAGGTCGTTCCCTTGCTCACCTCCTTGATGGCGACGCTGCCGTCGAGGGTGCCAAGGAAGACGGCGCCCATACCACCACGTCCCAGTAGACGAGTGGAGGAGAACCCGTGGGTCGCCATACTTACCTCCCTCAGCGAGCGCTCCTTGAAGTCAGCTTTCGCGAGCTGTCGTCGGGCAAACTTCTGGATGACCCGCGCTGCAGCTTCTTTCTGCTGCTCAGTCAAGTACCTCACGGCGCAGAAGACGCCGAAGCCCAGCACGGGCGCCAGCGCGCCGAGCGGCGCCAGAAATGCCACTCCCAGCGACGCGCCAGCGCCGGTCACAGCAGTACTGACGCTGGCGCCGGGGGCGCAGGCGAGGGAGATGGAGCCCAAGGAGCTCAATCCGCTGGCTCCGAATCCGAAAGTAAGCCCCAGCTCCATGGCAATTGCTGCGCGTTGGCAAAACCTGCGACGCCGTCTCCACAACTCGTGTTCCTCGAAAATTGCTCACACGGTGGGCCACGGAAGCCCTGCAAAGCTGATATTGAACCAGAAGCTCTTCTGTCCGCTTGCGCTAGAATCCAGTGCAACAAATTCCCCTTTCGAGATGCGCGCTGAAAGCGCCTCTGGAACTACCAAATAAAATATTCGCATTTGCTACTGCGTGCAACTCAGGGTGCCTAGCAAATAGGAACTACTGTCCAAAGCCTGAGGGCAATTTGTTTGATTTGCTCGTGCAATCGAGGGTCAGGCAAAGCATTCTCCGCACGCCACAAGCACATTAGAAGCTAATGAAAGAACATGTCCAGTGGTAAAACCTTCCAAGGAGACACGTGGTGCATTGTAGCATTGTAGCAAACACAAGTGATTTTGATGTTACGTGCAGGGAAGGGCTGTAGGTACCGGGGTCATCCGCCGCCTGATATTCGAAACGGTTTGCACACCCACCACCGAAATGAGCGCCCCCAACTTTCCTTGGAAAGCTAGCTCCACGACACAAATAATTGTGCGTTCAACCAAACACGTGTCATCACATGTTGCATCATCTGTGACCCAAGAACAAATTCATGCGCCGATTCCTCGAAGCACCGAAGGGGTTATCTACAACCAAAGTTGCATTGTCTGAGCGCCTAAAACTCAGCAAGTTTGACCATTTGTGAGTCCTTTTGGAGAACACAGGAAGGAAACATGTGTCGCTGCGCCTAGAGGGTCCAGTAGCATGACAAACTCAAGTCGAATCCGTGCCGGTTGCCAGAAAACGCCCCTGGCCTGAGGCCTGGCAGCCGAGGCTTTCCTTCACCTGCCGCTGAATTTGTTTCTCCGAAGCGGTGGAAATGAGGTCAAAGCTTGTGACACAGAGACTTGGAGGGCTTCATGATATATGAGTCAAGGGCTGCAAGCCCTGAGCTTGCAATCGAGCCACATGTGCCATTGCATTCACATGTTGTACAAGTCTAGAAACATATACATGCATGTGTGTGTGGCCGTCTGCGTTGGAGAACATTTTGTTGCCAACACCACTGCCGCTCAAAGAGAACCCCACGGCTTCTTAGTTCATTGGCTACTCAGCTGCTCATAGACAATAGAAGTGGGTCCGGCACCTCGCACACCAACAGTGCAGGGGAAGGAAAGCAATACATCAACGCCAGCCAACAGTCAAACAGCATGTCATTTTCCTGCATTAAGGAAGTTCCTGGTGAATTGACTGTTCCAATTTGTCAAAATGGTGATTTAACAAACACGCAGCATGCCAAAGCCTAGAGTTGGAAGATGTTGGAAGTAAGTAACGCCGCAACGACACCTCGATGAACTTGTGATCAGAACAGCCACGCTTTTGAAGTAGAAAGTTCAGAAAGCGTTCTCTGCAAGCACATAATTCAGGGAAAACACAGTGTGAGACCTACATTGACTCCTAGCTGCGTGTTCAATGGCTCATGAATGTTGGTCTTGGGCAGACGTGCTGGTTCCTCAGACAACGCTGCTTTACAGGAAATGCAAGGCTTCAGCCGCAACACCCTTTCATGGCGTGCTTGACACCCAGCAAGCCCCGCACATTCCAGAGATTGCACAACAAACTCACTTGGCAGAACTATCACCCATACCGCTGCCAATGCTGGTTCGTTTGGCTGCCCAAGTGTCATCCCATAACCTTAGAATACCTAGCCAATCACAAGGTCCCCAAAGCTGGAGGAGAGCAACCCTGCCATGGATGCTCTGGACAGATTGCCAACGTGCGTCAAACAGTCTGTCACCTTGAACTCTATGCAGCTATGCACACAAACTGCCAATACTGCCAAGTTCTCGTAAAAGGGGAAGGAATGTAACGAGCAAGAGCTTGAGTTGCTTTGTCCAATGGCTAGATCCTCAGGTGGCCTCAATGCAAAGGCCTATGTGCAAGCGCCAACTCTCGACATTTGCGCAGCAGGCCCCCGACGTGAACTTGGCAAGATCTGCAATGAACACACCAAGATGCCCACGCGCATCGTCAAGAGGCTAAAACAGACTCCTCGCATTTGTGGAAATGTGGCATGCGTGAAATGCGTTAGCCTGCGAATTCCAGCGGCCCCTCCCTCCATGGAACTTCCATGGACTCCGCGCCTTTGCCAAGCTGCTCCGGCTCCTTCACTGCCTGGCAATGGGGCACGGAGGGACTGATTCGTGCATCTGTCTGCACTCAGTGCTGCTCTTGCGCAACACATTGACCTTGATCTCAGCAATGCTACTGGCATTACTGGTCTCCATGCCTTGGCATTCCCCCCTCAAGAAGTAGAACCACACATGACGCAAACATGCGCACAAGAACAAGAAGGGAAAGCATGCTCTTCAGCCTTTTTACAAACGCGGAGCATGTGCAGCATGACAGTCAGCCAGAATGCTTGATAGCCCGATTGAAGGGGCAAGAATCAGCGCACGCCCAGGAAACTGGCATCAAAGCATGCACTACTGGCGCTGCAGTACACCTCCTTGAAAGATGCCCTCGATAACCTTGCCGCTCGGAAGGAGCTGCTTTCCACTGCCGTGCCGCTTGCCGTCCAGGAACTGACCTTCGTACAAGGCAAAGCCCTTGCTGGTGCTCGAAGAAAGCCGTCCTTGGCCATGCGGCACGCAGTGGCGCACTTCCCCATCATAGGCCGAGCCGTTGGGCAGAGTCAGCGCGAGAAATCCTCGGGCTGCCTGGGGTGTGGCCAAGATGTCCTTCAGCAGATGAGCGACGACGAGCGCCTCTGGGCGCAGGGACCTATCGAAGCACTGAAGTGCCAGTGACGTGACACGTTGCGCCACAGCCGGTGGCCACAGTGCGCGCGCATCGATCATGCCCAACACCCGCGGAGTGTCCACGTTCTCATAATGCATTACCAACCTGCCCTGCTGAACCACGGCAGGTGGCTTCCTCGTCAAAACCTCAAGCAACACCATGCCCACAGAAAACATGTCGGCCGAAGCCGAAAAATAGCCAGTCTCCAAATACTCAGGATCGGCATAACCAGGCGTCCCGGACCGGTGCTCCACCAGGACAGGGTCGAGGTCCGTGACGATGGCGCAGTCGAAGTCTGCCACCTTCCCATCCCCGGTTTCTGAGAGCAAGATGTTTTGGCTCTTAATGTCCCGATGAAACACTTTGGGCCGCAAACCATGTAAGTAGGATATGCCACGCACGCAGCCTGCCACTGCTTGCAGGCGGCTCTGCCATGCAAAGGCTTTGTCACGGTTCAGGCGTGCAAACAAGTCTCCGCCAGCCAGGAACTCCATGATGATGTACGCCTTCGACGGGCCCTGGGCGCAACCGAGTACTCGCACTATATTCCCATGGCGTAGGGTCCTCAAAAATGCCACGTCGCGAGCAAAGGTGTTCCCTTGCTCACCTCCTTGATGGCGACGCTGCCGTCGAGGGTGCCAAGGAAGACGGCGCCCATACCACCACGTCCCAGTAGACGAGTGGAGGAGAACCCGTGGGTCGCCATACTTACCTCCCTCAGCGAGCGCTCCTTGAAGTCAGCTTTCGCGAGCTGTCGTCGGGCAAACTTCTGGATGACCCGCGCTGCAGCTTCTTTCTGCTGCTCAGTCAAGTACCTCACGGCGCAGAAGACGCCGAAGCCCAGCACGGGCGCCAGCGCGCCGAGCGGCGCCAGAAATGCCACTCCCAGCGACGCGCCAGCGCCGGTCACAGCAGTACTGACGCTGGCGCCGGGGGCGCAGGCGAGGGAGATGGAGCCCAAGGAGCTCAATCCGCTGGCTCCGAATCCGAAAGTAAGCCCCAGCTCCATGGCAATTGCTGCGCGTTGGCAAAACCTGCGACGCCGTCTCCACAACTCGTGTTCCTCGAAAATTGCTCACACGGTGGGCCACGGAAGCCCTGCAAAGCTGATATTGAACCAAATGGCTCTTCTGTCCGCTTGCGCTAGAATCCAGTGCAACAAATTCCCCTTTCGAGATGCGCGCTGAAAGCGCCTCTGGAACTACCAAATAAAATATTCGCATTTGCTACTGCGTGCAACTCAGGGTGCCTAGCAAATAGGAACTACTGTCCAAAGCCTGAGGGCAATTTGATTGATTTGCTCGTGCAATCGAGGGTCAGGCAAAGCATTCTCCGCACGCGACAAGCACATTAGAAGCTAATGAAAGAACATGTCCAGTGGTAAAACCTTCCAAGGAGACACGTGGTGCATTGTAGCATTGTAGCAAACACAAGTGATTTTGATGTTACGTGCAGGGAAGGGCTGTAGGTACCGGGGTCATCCGCCGCCTGATATTCGAAACGGTTTGCACACCCACCACCGAAATGAGCGCCCCCAACTTTCCTTGGAAAGCTAGCTCCACGACACAAATAATTGTGCGTTCAACCAAACACGTGTCATCACATGTTGCATCATCTGTGACCCAAGAACAAATTCATGCGCCGACTCCTCGAAGCACCGAAGGGGTTATCTACAACCAAAGTTGCATTGTCTGAGCGCCTAAAACTCAGCAAGTTTGACCATTTGTGAGTCCTTTTGGAGAACACAGGAAGGAAACATGTGTCGCTGCGCCTAGAGGGTCCAGTAGCATGACAAACTCAAGTCGAATCCTTGCCGGTTGCCAGAAAACGCCCCTGGCCTGAGGCCTGGCAGCCGAGGCTTTCCTTCACCTGCCGCTGAATTTGTTTCTCCGAAGCGGTGGAAATGAGGTCAAAGCTTGTGACACAGAGACTTGGAGGGCTTCATGATATATGAGTCAAGGGCTGCAAGCCCTGAGCTTGCAATCGAGCCACATGTGCCATTGCATTCACATGTTGTACAAGTCTAGAAACATATACATGCATGTGTGTGTGGCCGTCTGCGTTGGAGAACATTTTGTTGCCAACACCACTGCCGCTCAAAGAGAACCCCACGGCTTCTTAGTTCATTGGCTACTCAGCTGCTCATAGACAATAGAAGTGGGTCCGGCACCTCGCACACCAACAGTGCAGGGGAAGGAAAGCAATACATCAACGCCAGCCAACAGTCAAACAGCATGTCAGTTTCCTGCATTAAGGAAGTTCCTGGTGAATTGACTGTTCCAATTGTCAAAATGGTGAATTTAACAAACACGCAGCATGCCAAAGCCTAGAGTTGGAAGATGTTGGAAGTAAGTAACGCCGCAACGACACCTCGATGAACTTGTGATCAGAACAGCCACGCTTTTGAAGTAGAAAGTTCAGAAAGCGTTCTCTGCAAGCACATAATTCAGGGAAAACACAGTGTGAGACCTACATTGACTCCGGCTAGCTGCGTGTTCAATGGCTCATGAATGTTGGTTTTGGGCAGACATGCTGGTTCCTCAGACAACGCTGCTTTACAGGAAATGCAAGGCTTCAGCCGCAACACCCTTTCATGCCGTGCTTGACACCCAGCAAGCCCCGCACATTCCAGAGATTGCAAAACAAACTAACTTGGCAGAACTATCACCCATACCGCTGCCAATGCTAGTTCGTTTGGCTGCCCAAGTGTCATCCCATAACCTTAGACTACCTAGCCAATCACAAGGTCCCCAAAGCTGGAGGAGAGCAACTCTGCCATGGATGCTCTGGACAGATTGCCAACGTGCGTCAAACAGTCTGTCACCTCCCAGCCAATGCAAACAAACTGTCAACGCTGTCATTTCCCACAAGCCCACAGATTCAGTTTTCCCAGCACCCTCTGCCAGCTGATCGGAGCAGCCGGAGCCGAGGAACCAATCACCTCGGCGCAATTGACATAAGCAAACCGAGTTTACCCATAACACTGCTGGTTACCACACCTTCCCAAAGTCCGAGTTTGCTGATGCATGCGGAAGCTGCAGGCTCTTCACCGAGTGACCAACCCGTAAAGAGCAACAACGAGCCGCATGGAAGTTCAGAAAGCGCTCTCTGCAAGAACGTAACCAGTGCAATCAAACAGCCGGTCTGGAACCAGAGTCAAAGAGCCGGGCTGGAACCAGTCTAATCAAACAGCTGGTGTAGAACCAGACTGATCAAACAGCCGTTCTGGAATCAATCTAATTAACAGCCGTTCTGGAACCAGTCAGGAGAAGCCATCATTACTTTATATTATATATCGATAAAACCTAGTTTTAGCTGAATTAACCAATAACGTATTTTTGAGTAGCGCCATGTTGTGCATGGCACTATCAGTTGACCTTTGATTGTTTGGAGCAGGGTGCAAAGGTCCGGCAACGTATCAAAGCAACCTGAGTCAAGAACATCAAAGCAAACTGACCCATTCAGGACAAGATTTCGGATGTAAGACCGATCGCGGATTGCCTTTTTAGGAAAAAGGGAATGACGCCTGGGTGCCACCCACTCCAAGGGCAGTTTGGCCATGTAAGGCGATTCAACGCTGGTGCCGAGTTTCCAGAATGGGCCGTCAGAGTCACAGCCAACGGCCAATGGGGGCACAGGTGCTATGCAAACTGCAAACGGAGCGACTTTAAAGTCAAACGGCATGTCACTACATCCTTCCACCAGAAAGGTTACAACTATGTGTTGATAACACTCATTTGCTCTCAAGATCCTGGAGGAACCCATGCAACCACCCCACGACGTTCAAGTCTGTTGAATACCTCTGGCGATCCTCTGCCGAGTCTCTGCAGAGCCCTGGGGTCCAGGCATGTAGACATGTAGACCTGCGCCCGAACAAGGCACACGCAATGTGCCATCTTGGCAACTTGGCCGATTGCCCTGCAGAAAAAAGCCCTCAGCGGATGCAATCCTAACGAACATGACGCTGCATTTCGACGGTTGTATGTCTTGACAGGCAGCTGAAACCCTCGAACCGGCAAACATATCTATGCTCATGGGCGTTTTCTGTAAGAACACTGATTGGGGAAGAAAATTGTCCCCTCTCGAAAGGAACATTCACCCATCGGGTGAACTCGCTTGCAACATTCCTTGTGTCGCTAGAACTTGTCCACTTGCAAATCGCCCTGGGCAAAGAGATGAACCTCTAAATTGTGGCGTACAGCCGCTTCCCCTCAGGTGCCTCAAGCAACTTTGAAAGCTTCTGCGATATTGAAAGCCCCTTGATATGCGACCACTTTCAACCGACCCAGCGTCTGAGTCGGTCTAAATGGTGGGACTTGACAAGTAGTTAAAGAAATACCGGAATCGAGATGAACCGTAAAGACGAACTGCAAGCTAACCAAACCTGGGTGCGTCTTTCAAATAATTCGGGGACAAGCGCTACGTAACTGTGCGCTTTCTTTGGCTTTCGTTTCACACCACCCCAAGAAGAGTTCCAACTCAAAGAGACACCACCTGTACGACACCCACCCTCGGTTAGCTACCCGCTCGCCTGCTCTGCCGTCAGCTCAAAAGCGCACTCCTGAGCAGCCGTGGGGGAGGGGGTGGGAGGGTTTGGGGAGAAGTTTGTGGGCCAAGTGGTGCCAAGTGGTTTAGACCCTTGTTCAATCCATGCTTAAGCAGCCTCCCTTTTGGTTGTCCTTTAAGAACCCTCCAACCCTTTTGAGCATACCAAGCCCCGTACTTCCTCCAAAAGCTATGTCGGAGACTTCTTCGAAGGTGGGCACCCATGCATATCCCACGCAGCAAAGGAACTAGAGGGTGAACCCAACACCCAAGCATATTTTACAAGGATTCCCCCTGTATATATTTATAGAGATGCACATGTTTCTATATATGTAGATTTACTCATTTATGGGCTTGTCTTTTTTGTGAGGGAAGCTCACGACAACCATCATTTCATGGTGAGTTTCCGTTTGGCTTCCTTCTAAAGCCCACCCCCCAAAAAAGGGTTGCCCAACTCCAACAAAGGGAACCACACCCACATTGACCCCTCCAAGAGATTTTGCGGCACATGTCGAGCCTGAGCCGGACCCTTGCCACTCGCAGATACTCGCACCACTCCACGAGTTGCGGGAGGGGGTGTGTTGATCTTAAATGGGGGCCAAAACGAGATGTGAGAAGATCGATCAAAACCATTGGCCACGCGGGACCGGACATGGCTCAAACAATAAGCAAGTGGAATCAGCAGGAACTGACATAGAATTGATGACCACTAGTAACAAGAATTCCTTCAAACTCCAGGCAGAGGGCTAGGGATAGCTGCAAGCAGCAAGGATTGCCAACAAGGATAGCGCCATGCCTAGGCAAAAGTCCCAGAGCAAGGAATACTCACTGTATGAGCCTTTGCCCCCCGCTACGACTGGAGCCTTTCATTGCCATCTGCTCACAGGTACCTCTAAGTCGATTCCGGTTCTCGATGTCAAAGGTTTCCGCGGCTGAAGGTGCCCTTCAC